AGGGACTTTAAGCCGTGTGTCCCGTGTCGTAGCTTTACGGCACGTAAAAGAACCTCATGTCTCCAAAGGAGATCACCGAGCCAAATTCCAGGACGTTTCCCGCCCAACAATAGTCTCTAAGGCCTCTGATAGATGGGGGAAGCATTATAGACACCGCCAAGCAAGTGGCCGAACCCGCTTGCTCGGCGGGACTGATGGTACGAACCATTATCGGTAGGGTATAGAGACTGGTAGAATACCATAGAGGGAAACACAATGGACCAATACTGGTCTAAGTGCATGGGGAAACCCACCCTCTCCAGTAACTAACTAATTATACCTCCGCTTCCCGTACGCCGTCATGGCGTGGTGCTTAATTAAGCACAGGGGCAATATGAGTGACTCTATATGGTAGAGAAGCCATTGCAAACATTCAGAACTTCTAATGAAAATACGTACCACAATTGTTTTATTGATTGTCTAGTATATTATCAATAATGTTTTAGGAACTGTAAGTTAACACCGGAATAATATATAAAAGCTAAAAGCTAAAAGTTGCCCCTGAACCTAATTAGCACAACGCCATGCAGACGTATGGGGGGAGCGGATGTAAAGACCCACGTTTTCTTGACCTCGTCACTAGCTGGAGGTGAATGGTCAGCTTCCTGCCCTGACCGCTTTACCCCCGGGGAAAGAGCCCCCGGTACACATTAGATAGGAGGCTGAGTGGGCCCCAGAACCGGTATGGACGACGTGGAGAAGGGATAATTCTTGACCCTACTGGGACTAGAACACCGAACCTTCTATCGTTCAGCCCGTAGCCAGTCGCTATACCGACTGCTAATATGTAACAGTTAATAATTAAATCAGTATAGCGACTAGGCTACTAGCTGGGCGACCGAAGAATCAGGGTTCGATTCCTGGTAGGGATAAGAGATTTCTGTCTTCTCCATAAGGTTCAGACGGCTCTGGTGTCCAACCCCCCCCCCTCCTGTACAATGGGTAGGGGGGGGGGAGAAGCGGCAGGGACGTGGAGCTCACCACTCATCTCGCACATAGCGCGGAGGTAAAAAACAGTGAAGCTCTACATCCATTTCATGGCGTGGTGCCTAATTAATTAAGCCCAGGATACCTTTTTTTTTCCTTGGCACTACAGCCCCAGTGGGCCTAGGCCTACCTCCATGAACTTCTCCGTTCACTTCGGTTTTTCTTGATCTTACACATTCGGTAGGACTCCTTGGGCGGGTGATCAGCTCGTCGTGAGGCCTCTACCTGTAAACAAACACAGAAAAACGCACACAAACATCCATGCCCTGAGTGGGATTAGAACCCACGATCCCAGCTTCCGAGCGAGCGAAGACAGTTCATGCCTTAGACCGCTCGGATACCGTGGCCGACCCAGGATACTTTTACCTTTACCTTCAATCAGTAGGGTGACTAGGTACGGGTAGAACTCTCGGTTCCCGGAAGGGAACATTTAACGTTTCACAAATAGAAAAATCTGTCTCGAAGTATGAGCAATGCAAGAAGCACTGGCTGCTTCTTTCGCTTACTCTTTGACCCTGAAGATGAAGGCAATACTTTCCTCCGAAACGTCGATAAACTTCTACCAGATTGCACGGCTTCACTTCCTAACTAATAGCACTCTTACTTGCAATCTTCTTTGGATTTCTTGACGTAAGGTACGTACGTTTATATAACTCTGAAATAACTGTGGTTTGCATGGTAACACAACAGTTCTTTCTCATACTATATTATAATTATTATCTGTCACGTGATTATCAGGGATGTCTGACTGGATTGTCCCATGCCTTATGAGCTGTAGCGTATGCATTATAGAGCATCAGAGCAGAAAGCCTCAAACTTATAGCGTCCGTACCGCGCTAACAAGTACGGGGATTGCTTGTATTGATACGTGTATTAATTGTAGTGAAATGGACTAACTAAGTAACTAACTCCGTAGCTTTATTCCGCAAGCGAACTATACCAACCTAGCGACAGCCGCTTTTCGGCGAAGTTAGTGCCAACTTTAGCGGATAGAGGGTGTCGCGTGGTCAGCGCAACGAATCCCCATGGCCGTTAATTTCGATTTTCTAGACTGTAGCCGATACTTTTCCATTCAAGTAGCTCCTCAGTTATCCTCACGAGGCTGAGTGGGCCCCGTTCCAGACCCACTACTTCTCAAAAAAATGTGGTAGCACCGGGAATCGAACCTGGGATATCTGGATTTGTAGGCAGTAATTCTGACCAGTAGACAACAGAGGAGGTAGCGGAAAGGGCAGTAATAAGTTGAAATTGCATTTAAAAGAAATTAAGACCATGGTGATATAGTCCTCGCTCGGTCGGTATAGTTCGCTTGCGGACTAAAACTACGGGGTTTATTTTTTGGTGGTATAGTCCTCTGTTTCTCTGAGAAGTGATGGTTACACAGGTGCGAAACAATTATCGTTCCATCAGCTGTTTCATATCCATTAATCATCTTATCATTGACGCTATATAGTCTCATTACTTATAGCGTCGTTGAATAAACTGAAAAATAACGGCGTCATACCTCAGAACACAGTAATCATCTAAACAAAGAAATAATTAAATTCAGGAAATATTTGCTATCATTCACTTCAGAATCTTTTATTTTTCCATCTCAGAGGGAGAAAGATCCGCAGGAATTAAAATATACAAAACTACATTTTCCAAATTGTTTTGTGTGGGCATGAATCTTGATCTCTCACAGTAATGGACGAACATAGATCGAAATTGTTTGAAAATATTGTGCTGAGGGGAATATTTGGAAGTAAGAGGGAGGAATCAACAGGAAGCTGGAGAAATTTTTAACGAGGAGCTCCATAATCTGTACTACGAGTCAGTAAATAGGTCACAAATGGAAGTAAAACAGTTGTAATGGACGTAATAGGTTTTCCATATGTATCACTAGGTAGCAGCACAGTCAAGCTTCATGACGGTCTAGGTAGTAGACGCGCATGCGCATGTTCGGAGGTTGGTTTCAATGGTCACAATGGCGAAGGTCCTTCAGGGTATACTACCGAAGAGCAACGTTTTCTTGTGCTTTTGTTTTTATGGGCAAACGGACTCAATGCAAAAGATATTTATCGCCCGCCAATATTGCAAAAGATATTTATCGCCCGCCAATATTGCAACACTTTTCTATTCACTACTTAATTTTAATTTTAGTTTAACATTATACACTTTGACACTACATGTTTCGGCCCCAAACGGCCATCTTCAGGTGTCTTGATATGTTACAAATATTTTATTAAATTATGTCTTCGCTTGCGGATTTCTTATATTTTCCTTCTACCCTGAAGATGGAGGCGATACGTTCCTCGGGAACGTCGGTTAACACCACATATACACGGTGCCAAATCCAAGAAGACTGCTTTCTTCGTAGTCACCGCAGTGAAAGCCTCAAATGTTACATTCCAGTTCAACTACAACCAAAAATTAAAGTTATGCCATAAGCTGGGAAGGTTATGCTTACCGTGTTTTGGGATTCTCAGGGAGTACTGCTAACCAATTTTCAGAAATATGGTGAAAATGTAAATCCTGCATCGAACGGTGAAGTTCTGTTGAAGCTTCGGGGTGCAGTTCGCAGAAAACGTCCAGGCCAACTGGCAAGAGGGGTACTGCTTCTTCATGACAGTGTCAGAGCCCATGCTGTACGAGCAACCCAGGAGAGAATTCAAGAACTGCAGAGGGAACTTCTTGAACATCCATCTTACAGCCCGTACTTGGTCCCTAGTGACCGTCATCTGTTTGGTCCGCTAAAAAAAAAACACCTTGGTGCTTTAAGTTTGGCTGATGAGGAGTTTGAAACGGAGGTGTGGAAGTGGCTGAGACAACAGTCAAAAACTTCTATACAGAAGGTTTTGGCGCACTGGTAAGCGATGGGACAATTGTATCAATGTTGGTGGAAGATATGTCGAGATATAACATTTTATTCCCAGGCTCGAATATCACATAGTAGTTTACATTTTATATCCATTTGTGACCTATTTACTGACTCAATCTCCTATTAATAGATATTATGAGGGTAATAAAATCAAAGGGGATATGATGGATGGGACGTGTAGCATGCATGTGAGATACGGGAATTCATACGAAATTTTAGTCGGAAAACCTGAAGAAGAGACACTTCTTGGGATACCTATTTGTGGATGGAATAATAATGGATTTTAAAGAATTGGAATGTGAAAGTATGGACTGAATTCATTTGGCTCGAGATAAGGACTAATGTTGGGCACTTGTAAATACACCGAAGGAACTTCGGATTCCATAAAAGGCTAATACGTAATACGTAATTCCTTAACTAAATGAGTCACTATCAGCTTTTGAAGAACCCTGCTGAACGGAGTTAGATAAGAACTTGTTATTGCAAAGCTGACAACACAGCAGATATAGTTCATAGAATCAGAAAGGATTTCTCATTGTATTTCATAAAGATCTCACAGTATCTTAAAAAAAAAAAGAGGCTCAAACTGATAGACTGACGAGATCAATATTATGTGTCACGTATCGTGTTCTTATGATGATTTGTTTCTGAAAATGCCTACGACATTCAATTTGGCCTCCATGAAGGACCTAAATTAAAAGTTGTATTGAAGTGATAGGTTTACTAGTTAAAATTAAATTAGTCCAGTAAAATTTAGAATAATTATTGTCCTTCGATTTTCCTTGCTTCGGCGTATGCTCTGTTCATTTCGGGCATTTTAATTATAACGGAAACAAATTCATTCGTCGGAGTTGAAAACGTGCGGAGTAGATCACGCATCGTGGTTTATATAATCTACTTTTTTACAAGAAATACTTCGATTCACAGAGAACAGAATAGGTGTGTGTATGAGTTTGTGTACGAGTAGGCGTGCTTCTTTTATTATTGCTAGATGGCTCCACTGACTAGACCATTCTAGACCTTTAAACGTTGATTTTGTTCTTCGTAGGCGTGATGAAGCCCGGGCAGTTCGTATCGTACGTATCATGGATCGTCATGGATCCCTAAGTATTGTGCAGCAAAACGTTTCATAAATATAGAAGGCGCTTGAAGTGTTGAGGTGTTCAGGTTCTTGGTCGTCAGAGACGATCAGGAGGGAATGGAGCTGGAAGTAGGGATGTAAATCTGCTTGGTTTTGTTGACATATGATGTTATGGTAGTGGCGTGACCTTCAGTGTTATTTATGTTAATAATGTGAAGTATTGGTATAGTTTTTGTTGTACTGAAAAGCTGTAGAGAATATGTTTTCGTAAGGTGCTAGGTTTTAAGGTTAAGTCTTCTCGTTTAATAAAGCGTGAAAGTTCAGTAGGTGGAGGAACTAGGGTAGAAAGATCCCCCACCCTCAAGCGTTAGAAGTTCGAACAGACGTGACACCAAACCGGCAAACCAAAATATGCATTTTTATATGGTGAGGGTTAGGAGAAACATGAATTAGGTATAGGCCTTTTTTGTGCATAGAGAATCATATCAGTGGTTAAGAGGGTAGAGCATGTTAGTGATAGTATCGAACCCGGGCCGCCGCAGTGGGAAGCCAGCGACTAACCACTTGAGCTATGGCGCGGCCCTAGATTAGTATGTAAGTGTAGACTTAGTGTTTTATGGCGTCTTTTATATATTTTTGTAAATGGAACTTTTTATGAACATAATTGATAATAATGAGTAGTTGCACAGGAATATTGGGGCACACAAGAACATATACATATAAGTATTTTTACTTTTCTGTTGTTCATTCTAGAGGCCTGCAGTAGTGTAGTTGATTGAGGCACTATGTTATAAGCTGGAAG